ATGGACAATGAAGGAAGAGCTACTGCAGACCTCTCTTTTTATTTGAATTTCAATACTGACTAGTGCCAGTGAATGAAAGATAACATAAATCTTCCAGTTTTCTTATCTTTAACTTAATGTGATCAAATAAAAAAACAAACTCAGCAGCTAATGTATCTTTAAAGTTGAAATCATATTTTTAAAAAAATGGAAAGGACAATTATTTTATCTCTAGCAAACTCAGAATTGGAACGAAAAAGCAAACTGCAAATAAGTTTATAAGTTTTGGATGAATAATTTTCTAAAAACTAAGACAATTTTCAAAAAGAGAAATTAAGTATACACTAATTCAATTCTCTTAAAAGAAAATACAGATCATGAGTAATCAAAACAAACAAACAGAAAAAAGCAGAGGACTATTTGAGAACAGAAGAGAATAAAAAAGCCTAAGAACTGCCAGGCCTGGTGGCCCGCGCTTGTGATCCCAGCACTGGGGAGTCAGAGACAGGCAAATCACCATGAGTTCAAGGCCAGCATGGGCTACATAGTGAGTTGAAGACCAGTCTTAATTACATGTTGAGAACCTGTCTCAAAAACACAAAACAAAACAAAAACAAAACCCAAAACAATGCACAAAACCTTACTGAATCTTGCATTAAAAAAAAAAAAAACAAAAAAAAACCTTTAAATAATGTAGGATAACTGGAGAGAACTTAACCACTTAACAGTTTACCTGAGCATCACTTGGGCAGTGCACTTGTTTATGTATGTCCTGAGCGTGCTCCAGCAGGTGTCATTTCAACCAGTCGGTTCTTGTTTGCACAAGATATATCTGTAGATTTATTTTTTTTCCTCATTGAGTTTATTGGTACTTTTTAGGTACACAATACAGTTACATTCGTCATTGATATCTTGTACCTTTACATGACAGATCTTGGTTCTCATTTTTTCCCCTTGTTCCTGCCCTCCCTTCACCCCCTCCTCCCCTCCCCATTTGTAAACACTGTATTTCCATTTTTTCATTTTCTCATATTTTTTTCTTTTCCCTTATTACCTTTTCCCTACCCTTCCCATTTCCTCTACACCTTTAGCCCTTTTCTTCCTATTTCACACTGTCAATTATATCATTAGGATCTTATGTACTATTATAGTTTTTGATCTGTTTGTTTTATATTGACTTTTTTGTATACTTTTTATTTAGAATGTTGTATTGGCCTTTGATGTCTGTTTCTAGTAATAAAATCTAATAATAAGTTCTGGTTTCACTAATTCTTGTTTATTTGTGAAAAATAACATATAATTTTGTGCTATAATCTATAAAAATTCATGTCGTAAGTGTATTACAGATAATTTTTATACTTCTCCAGAACTAAGTGATATTCTTTTACAGTATAAAATGGACACGTTTGGGACACTGAGACTGAATAGGAAGTGCCAAAAGATCTGCAAAGGAAAAACTGAAAAAGGGAGAAATGTTCATAAATTGGAGAGGAACAGTCTGTGTTAAAAACCAAAAGACATAAAAATTGTCTTCTTATTGTCAACTATTAATAACACGGAAATGACAGAACTTGAAAGAAATGAAACTAAAAAAATTCCAATAGTGATCAATAATTATAATAATTCTATAGATGGTTTTGACAGAGTTGACCAATATCTAACAAGCTATCCTGTAATCAAACAAGGACAAAAATATTAGTATAAAATATTTATGCACCTTTTGGACCAAAAAATATGGAACTCATTTGTTACTTATTCAAAACAAGGGAGTTTAAAAAGTCATTTAAAATTTAGGTTTGGTCTAATAAATCAAATAACTGAAATATATGTGATAATAAAATTACAATTAGGACATCCATCGCCAACATCTTCACCATTACATTCAGTGAACAGACATTTTATTGAAATTATACCACCCACAGAAAAAAGGGAAGGGCCAACACAACAGTATAAACTATGTTGCTCAAAGAAAGACAGCAATGTAAAAAGAATGTGGAAAGAGACTAGATACTACCAGATGGTAATGTTGTGTACTGAATGTTTTAAGATATACCACACACAGCAAAATTACTGATTAAAGTTGATACAATTGTCATTTTTATATTTTCTGTTATACTATCTTACAAAAATTAGTGAAAAAAGTATTTAAGTAATCAGACTGGTTAATGGCAGACCTCTTCATTTAACATTGCTATGGTTTGAATGCACTGGTCTGTCCTAAATTCATATGTTGAAATTTCACCTCAACCCAGTGTGCTACAGGGTGTAGCCCTTGGGGGATGATGAGTAGTCCAGGGATGCTCCACTTCACGGATGGGATAATGCTCTTATAAAAACAGCCTCTCTACTCCCACCCCTTCTATCATGTGAGGACACCCAGACAGTGCCCTCTGTGAGGAACAAGCTTCATGTACACCAAACCTGCCAGCACCTTGATCTAGGATTTCCCAAAACTTTGAGGAATTTTGGTCATTTATAAATTATCCAGTCTGAGGTATTTTGCTATAGCAGCATAAATGATCTAAGATAAACATGTTCTAAATTACTATTAAATTTTCTTACACATGATATCAGTATCACCATTATGCAGAAAATTATCCATATTCTCAGATACACATGCTAAAATAATTTAAGATCATTTCAATGGTTTTAAATATATAGATAAATATAACAGTCAATGTGAGTCTTCACTATCCTCTATCCTCACTTTTCCTGTAATATTAAACACTGTCAGAATGAAAGGCTGAAGAATTAGGAAGATAGCCCACAGGGAGGCCAGCAGCCTAAAGCATGAAGACAAAAGCAGCCCTCATCTGCAAAATCATGAAAATCAGCTGTGTGATCTTAGGACAGTTACATAGCCTCTCTAAATTCCCAGCTGTAAGAGAAGAAGTGGACAATATCCTAGGATAAAGCTACAACACCAAAAAGATAACAAATGAACCTAAGACCTAGGTCCTTTCCAGCTATTAAATACCATTATTCTACTACTGTACCACTTCTCAGCTCCAAGACTCAAAAGACAACCAAATGCAAAGTAGAAAAACTCATAGAACTGAAAGGATAAAACAAAGGATTTAAAATAGCCAAATGCATCTCACATAAAGCACAAACAAAAAAATATTACCTCTGCTACTTTGAAGAAAAACATATTAAAAATTCTTCAGAGAAACAAAAAACAATTTAGAAAAAAACTTAGAACAAGGAATACAGAATTAGAAAGATTTATTTCAATATCTGTGCAATTTCAGTTTGAACCAAAAATATAAATTAAAAAAAGCTGAATATAAATATGCTCTGATAAAGCCACAAAACCAAAAGATAACAAATGAGCCTTCTAGGAGTTTAGAAAGGCTAGACACTTTCAAATAAGTTTAAAATGATATACATCTAATGACAGTATGCTAGAAACTTTCCAAGATAAAATATTAATAAAACTACCTATCAGAACTTTGGGTAACAGTCTGGGAAGATTTTGGACTGACTAAAAGAATTTTCTCTTTTTAAAGAGAACAAGGGAGAGGAAGCTCTACACTCAGTATAAAAATCCAAGCCAATTATTGTCACTTTTAGAAAGACTCTGACGTGATATGAAATTAAACTCAATTAAGTCATACAGAGCTTTGAAGTTTGGCCAAATAAGCTTCGTGCTTTATTCTAAATAATATTTTAGATGTACTGTGAGGAAAGAACTAGCTGGAGCAAAAGTGGTAGCTGCCTTTTTGGAGCTGAAGCAGGATGCAAGCAACAAAGGAAAGATGAATTAATTTGAGGTATATTTCTTCTGAGTCAGAGTTCATGACACTTCAGGATTCTTTGTGTGTGAAAGAAGAAAAAAATATACTCAAGACTTCACGATTTTGACTTTTGAGCAACTCTGAATACTGATACATGGATTGGTTATGTTAGCAAAAGAAATGTAATTATAATGCAAGAAACATTACCATTGGAAATAAAGCATCTGAAAGGTCTGTAACATGTAATAGTTAATACTTTTTAATTCCGTGGAGTACTACTCTGCCATAAAAAAGAATAAACTTGAGACATTCTAGGTACATCGATGCACCTTGAGACTATACTCTTAAGTGAAATAAATCTGACACATGTGTTTAAACATTGCACTGTTTCTCTGGTATGAGAAAGAGAAAGTATAAAAAAAGTATAAATATGACCTCAGAGTCTTTTGGCATACAGAAAACAGAAGGAAGCACAGTGTTCAAGAAAAAAAAAAAATCATGCCAAGCAGTTGAAAATCTAGGATTGGTAGGAGTTCAGGTTGAGAAAACAATACAGATTGGGATCCTGTTCACCCTAAGTATTAGTTGAAAGAAATAATAATTATATCACAGATAAGAAAATTCATTAAGATAAAGAACAAGAAAAGCATTCACACAAATACAAAATGAAAGCAGCCTTTCAAAGTAGGAGACTAATCTCACAGAAAAAATACTACAAAGGGTGGGGGATGTAGCTCAGGGGTACCACACTGTCTGGCAAGCACAAAGTCCTGAGTTGGATCCCCAGTACCGAAAAGGAAAAAAATATACTACAGGCCAAGTATAGCGGCACAAGCCTTTAATCCCAGCACTTGGGAGGCTGTGGGACGGGGGCGGAAGCAGTGGTGGCAAGTCTACAGCACGCACACCACCAGCTGTGTGTTACAATTGAAGTTTTGCCATCCTGAGCTAGAGTTTGAGGCCATTCTAGGCTACATAGCCAGTTCCAGGTGAGCCTGGACTACATGGCAAAACCCTAACTCAAAACACAAAGCAAAGGGGAAAAAAAAACTATAAAATCAAAACTTATAGTTTCAGAAAGAAAAGAATGCTTTAATTAACCAAGAACAGCTGGGCGCGGTGGCCCATGCCTGTAATCCCAGCACTCGGGAGGGTGAGGCAGGAGGATCGCTGTGAGTCTGAGACCAGCCTGGGCTACACAGTGAGTTCCAGGGCAGTCTTACTACATAGTGAGACCCTGTCTCAAAAAAAAAAAAAGAACCAAGAACAGTAAAGTAATCCTACCTTATTACTAGTCATTGTTGGCTGTGTCTTAACTAAAGTAGCAGGTCCATGTTGAGGTATATATACATTAGGGATGAAGACACTTGAGAAAACATGCAGTAAAGTCTCACAGGAATGATCATAGGTCTAGCCAAAAAGCATGAACTGCAAGAAGAAATTCGAGGAATCAGATCTGTTCCCTACAGAAAAAGGAAAAAATGTACACATAAAGTATAGTAAGCTATTACTGGAAGTTAACTGTGTCAGTTTATCAGATTCATCAATCTACAAATGAGAATTCCACACTTACCTGCCTGGCCACTGCTTCCTCTCTCTCCTCTTCACTACTGTCCCTATGTGGAATGCATTTTACTCTCTCTGCCTCATATTCTCCACTTTAAAGAGGTTATTCTTGTTTTTCTTCATTTTCACAGAATAAAACTAACTTCAAGCTTAAAGCACATCAAAAGTCCACAAGGGACTACAATTGTTCAAATCCTGTTACAGACAGGCATGGCAGCACTGTCTGCAATCTCAGCACTCAGGAGTCTGAGGCAGGAGAGTCACCAGGAGGAATTCCAGGCCAGCTGGGCTACACAGTAAGTTCAGCGAGCCTGAACTACATAGTGAGACCCTGCCCCCCGACCCCAAAAAGTTACATACTAAAAAAATAATTAAGTATGTAAGGAAAAAATATTTCCAAAAACTGAAGAAAGTCTGAGAAATATTTTCCCAGCAAAACACACACTTTCTCTGTTTCACATGTCTTACTATGCCAATGTATGAACCTTGAATTGGTAGTCCTCCCCTCAATCCTTGAAAGAGTGGTTCTTCTATGATGTTTCTTGGTCACTGGTTCTTTTTTATCACTGATGTCAACGTACAGTCATCCCTCAGTATTCATGCAGGATTGGTTCAGTACAGATGTAATTTTTAAGGAATATTTTTGACTCATGGTTGGTTGAATTCATAGTGGTACATGCCAACTGTGTGTCATTTAAAACCCTGTTCTCATCTTTTGCCTTGTGCTCTCCTGTATCTAATCCTGACTTCCTAGTTCATTATTAGCTCTCTTCTTCTTCCAAACTTTTTTGTTTTCTATTCTGTTTCCTGTCTTTTCCCCACTTCTTTGACTTTCACATGAATCAAAAGACATGTCATAAGTGTTACCAGAAAGATCACTCCTTTCCTTCTGATCAGGAAACTAATAAAAAAACGGATTGTCTGTCATAGCTGATACCAGTCTTCTACTCTACTAATGTTTTTGCCCATTTCCATAGGATTCCTTTTTGTCTCCAAAAAAGCATTTTTATTTCCTTCTAGATTTGGCAAGTGTATTAGTCATTTTCACTAGGACACAATACCCAACACCAACAATTTAAAGGAGGAGAGGTGCTTCTGGCTCAGTTTCCAGTGGGTTCAGCTCCACAGTGGACAGGGCATGTTGGAAGGGCAAGAGAGAGGAAAGCTCCTCATCCCATAATCCAGGAAGCACAGAGAGAAGGGAGGAGCCAGTGACAAGAATACACCTTTCCAAAAATGCTCAGCATCTTTGGCCATCAATGCAATGCAAATCAAAACAACACTGAGATCCCATTTTACCGCAGTAAGAAAGGATAGCATCAAAAAATCAAAATCAAGAAATGCTGGCAAGGCTATGGAGGAAAAGGAATCCTCCTACATTGCTGTTAAGAATGTAAACTAATGCAACCACTATGGAAATCCATATGGCAATTCATCAAAACTAAAAAGAGAAATTCTATTTAACCCATCTATACCTACAGAATCCTCCCAAAAGAGTTACGTTCATATCCATGTTCACAGCAGCCCAATTTGTAATAGCTAACTTACAGAAGCAGCCTATGCCCATCAACAGAAGAATGGGTAAAGAAAATGTGTTAAAGATACACAATGGAATACTTCTCAGCCATAGAGAAGGATAAATTTGAGACATGTGTAGTAAAATGGATGCACCTTGGGTCCATAATGCTAATATATAGAAGGCTAAATACTGAATGCTTTCTCTTATATGAGAAACACAAAATACAAATAATTTAAAGAGCAAAATAAAAGAAAGACAATAATAAACAAGGAGGTAGATCTTGTGGACATGGGAAGGGGCCTGAGATGTGGGAAAGCAGGATGAGAGCCTATGTAATTGGAGAAGTTGGTGGGGACAGATTAAGGTTTACTAGGAAGTAGTCACTATGTATTTTTCAATGTTGTGCATGAAATCTTTGCTGAGTTCTGATAAGGATGATATCTTGTAAGTAATAGAAGGAATTTTCTTTTGCAAGAAACCCTTCTCTTGTCATTAATCTGTGTGATTTGGATGGCACTAATTGTTCACACACTACAGTTTCTGCAGTAGGCACACAGTATAGGATTTTAGAATCCGCATATTCCTTCCCTTGAGCAGTAGTTCAGGAATGAGTACAGGACCCAACTTAGATAGATAACTCTGAATATTGCCCAATATTTTTCTTTTTATTTCTGTATTGGAGATCAAGCCCAGGTTCTCGCACGTGCTATGCAAGTGCTTTACATCTGAGTTACATATCCAGCACCCCCAACATTTTTAAAGGGACTAATCAGGAAGGAAAGTTCTTTTTCAGCTGAAGTTGCTAAACTGAAAGAACATAAGTACCTACTTGACAATGAGCCAACACAGCAAAAGTGCCAACAGTTGGAAAGAGAAATGGATAAAATTCTGAAAACATTCTACCCCTAAATCTGAGTTCAAGTGTGAACAGATATAGCTTCTGGAATTTAGAATTACTACTAAGAAACACTTTTCTCTAGATTTCTCATGTCCCCACACAGTCACTGACTTCTGAACAAAAAGTACAAAGATACGTGCATAAGAGAAAAACTTGAAAGCTAGAGTGGTATCTTCCTAAATATAGAGACCTCCAAAGACCCTCTCTCCTATCCCTCCCTGGAGATATTTATTTATATCCTATGATAATAAACCTAAATAAACTTTTCCACTTCTCTGTGAAGGTGATCTGCTATAAGTAATTCTTCTGCTGCTGAGGAGGATAACAAATAGCCTGTACAAGCTGAGTCTCCTAATTCAAGGATCCTCTCCTATGATACAGAATCACTAGATACAGAGGTAGATATCCAAAAGCTGGCAATGAAATTAAGGCAGTAATAAAATATCTACCACCTAAGAAAACCTCAGGAACTGACAGGTTCACTGCTGAATTTTACAAAACCTTCAGAGAGGATATAATGCCAATACTCTCCAAACTTTTTAATGAAATTAAAATATAAGGAGTACTCTCAAAGTCATCCCTGGAGCCTAGTATTACCTTAATTCCAAAACCAGAGCAAGATCCTTCCAAAAAAGAAAACTACATGCCAATCTATTTAATGAACATAGATGAAAAAAATCCTCAACAAGATACTGGCAGATAGAATGCAACAAATCATCAAAAAGATCATATAGCATAACGAAATAGGCTTCATTCCAGGGATGCAAGGATGGTGCAACATATGCAAATCAATAGATGTAATACATCACATAAACAGAAGGACAAAAATAACATGATCATCTCAATAGGTGCAGAGAAAAAGCCTTTGACAAAACACAGCATACATTCATGATAAAAAAAAAAAACTAAAGGAAAGAGGTATACAAGGACCTTATCTCAATCTGATAAAAAGCCATTTTTGGCATACCTAATGCCAAGATCATATTAAATGGAGAAAGAGTAAAAACTTTCTCTCTAAAATCAGGAGCATGACAAGGGCATCCACTATTATACTGTTCAATATACAGTACTTGAAATATTAGCCAGAACAATTAGGCAAGAAAAAGAGATAAAAAGACTTTGTAAAGGAATGAAAGAAAACAAATCTTCATTATTTCCAGGCAGCATGATCTTCTACATAGAAAACTCAAGAAAAATCCACCAAAAGGACTCCTAGAATATCAAAATTCAGCAATGTAACAGGATACAAAATCAACACAAAAAATTGAATAGCATTCCTCTATACCAATAAGGAAACTCACTGAGAAAATTAGAAAAACAATACCAGTCACATTAACATCAAGAAAAATTAAATACTTAGAAATTAAATGAACCAGGAAGTAAAACTTCTACAGTGAAAATTATAGTACTCTGAAAAAGAAGAGCAAAGAGGATATTAGAAAATAGAAAGATATCCCTCACTGTTGGATGGATAGAGCCAATATTGTCAAAATAGCCATACTCCCCAAACTGAAATACAGATTGAATGCAATCTCAATCAAAATACCAACAGCATTCCTCACAGAACTAAAGAACACAATCCCAAAATTCATACAGAACCAAAAGTGACTAGAATAGCAAATGCTATCCTGTATAACAAAAGAAAAGCAGCAGGCATTACAATTTCAGATTTTAAGTAATATTACAAAGGTAATAAATAAATAAATAAAAATAGCATGATCCTGGCACAAAAACAGACATATAGATCAATAGGACAGAACAGTGGATGAAGAACAACAAGCATATTCAGTTTGTCTTTGACAAAGGGGCCAAAAGCATCACATAAACAGGAGGACAGAATTTATTGAACATCTCAGTAAATGTACAGAAAAAGCCTTTGCCAAAATCTAACACACATTCATCATTAAAAAAAAAAAAAAAAACCCTGAAGGAAAGAGGTACAAAAGAACCTTATCTCAATCTGATAAAAAGCCATTTATGTGCTATAAGAAAGACAATCTCTTTAACAAGTAGTGCTGGGAAAACTTGCTATCTACATACAAAAAAGTGAATCTAGGTTCATACATCTCTCCATGTACTAAACTAAAATCAAAATGGATCAAACACCTAAAACAAAAACGATTGACTGGAATACAGAATAGGTAACACTATTGAAGTCATACTCGTAGGCATAGACTTTCTTTCTCTCTCTCTCTTTTTTTTTTTTTTTTTTTTTGGTACCAGAGATTGAACTCAGGACCTCGCACTTGCAAGACAAGCACAGTGCCACTGAGCTAAATCTCTGGCCCATGACTTCCTGAATAGAATCCCAAATGTGTAAGAAATAACATCAATTATCAACAAATGGGATCCTATCAAATTAAAAAGCTTCTGTACAGCAAAGGAAAACAACCAACAGAGCAAAGACAACATACAGAATTAGAGAAAAAAAAATTGGCAGCTATTCCTCAAACAGAGGACTAATATCTGGAATATATAAA